TGCCACGCCCCCTTTGCCCTGGCCGCGAGCGCCTTAGCTTTGGTGCCCCGGGATCCGAAGCCTGCAGTCCTGGGGAGGGCACGGAGCGTCATCCGCCCAGGTTGTTCTGAGCAGGGCGCTGGGAAATTGGGGCTTCCCGGGGTCCCCAAATCCTGAGGGTCCCGCTGAAGTTTTCTTTTTCATGAACTTCCTCTGTGGCTTTCAGGGAGTTTGTCGCCTCCCTCCTCCCTGAGCTGAGCATTCCTGAAGATGAACCAGCGGCAGGAAAGCTGTGCAGACTCACACTAGAGGGATCCCTGAAGGAGAAACGAGAAGGGGAGAAAAGCCAGTGGAGTGGCCTGGGCCAGGGCATTTCCTTAGTAATCCAAATACAGTAGTTTCCAAGAATCCCATGAGACCAAAGGACAAAGAGGAAGGGTAATGGAGAGGGCAGCAGGACGCCCTCTCTGGGATCTCAGACCATTCCTGCCCTGCCCCGTAGGCCGGGCCAGCTCTCTCAGAGGGTCTGACCAGTGTGTGTCGGGGGAGAAGGGCGCAGTAGGGGAGGGCCTTCAAGTCTCCTCCAAGGTGTGAGGCAGAGTTCTCGTCCCCACCTCAAACTGGTGATACACAGGGCAGCAGACCCACTTTTTAAGTCTTCCAAAGACGGATGAAGGGTTTGAAGGCAGGTTCAAGCCCCATCTTGGGAAAGACTTGCACAGAGCTGGCCAACACAGGTCTGGACTGCCCCGGGAGGGGTGAGCTCCCCATCCCTGGAGGATATTTAGGGAAAGCCACACACTGCTTTGGGGGTCTTGGGTGGTTGATAATCGGGAGAAGCAGGTAAAGCTCAAGAGCCTTCCTGGTTACTGATCAAGTTCCCTGGGCTGGACCTTCATTCACCTGCTGTGATGCTGTAGTGTGCCTGGAAATGCAACCTGTTCTCCTTCTCCTGGTTGGGCCATTTTTAAGGGCACAGGCTGGCTACTTCAAACTCAAGCCAGGGCACTTCCCAGAATGCCCTTAGAAGGGTGTGCCCCCAGACAGAGGAGACCCCTTTGTGTGCTCCCTGGAGTAGGCTTCCCAGCTGGGGTCTCAGTATTCCTCCCCAGGGGCCTTCAAGGGAGCAGAGCACCCCCATTCCCTGTGCCAACTCTCCTTTATCTACTGTTAACAAGGACCAGGGATTCAGAGAGAAAGAAGAGGAAGATGAATCAGTGATCCTAGGGTGATCAGCAATTTTCAGGCCCAATTGGCCAAAACCTTTCATGTTGCTTGTTTTTTGGCTGAAAACATGCATCACAGATATTTCTGCATCTTTGCTTTACAGAATCCTGGAATAAAGCCAAGGCACATGTTCCACAAGTATTATATAGAAATGAGAAGACTGAGGCTTGCTGTGGATCATCCAGGAGCTAGAGGCAGAGCCAAGGTTTGCTGGAGTCAAGGTTTCATATCTTGTCAGAGTGCAGAGAAGAGCCAATTATCTCTGGGTCCTACCAGCCCTCCTCATAAAGGGGTTCAAGGGCCTTTGACTTCTCTCTCCTTAGTTCATTCAGTCAACAGACTTGCACTGGAAAGGGATAGCTCTGAGGAGAAGCCCACGTCCCAGCCCTGTGTGTGTGTCTGTGCAGTCTTACCCATATTATCTAATTTAATATGTACAACTCTCCTGGTATGATTATCCCTGCTTTACAGAGGAAGAAGTTAAAGCTCAGAGAGGATAAGTCACTTATCCAGGCTCACACAGCCTTGGGGCAGAGCTTAAGTTCACATCCAGTTTGTGCTAGCTCCAAAAAAAAGTTGAAACTTTTTCCATGGTAGAAGTAGGTGACCATAAAGTTACTGAAGTTTCTCAGTTTCTGGGCCCCTCACTTACACATCTCTTCCATAACTCTAATTTTATATTTGCACTTTACATTCTTTTTCCTGAAGAGGCTGCCTCTCCCTCAATTGTATCAATCAGGTTTAGAGCCGCTAGTGTGACCAGCTGTCCTGGTTTGCCTGAGGCTGAGGGGTTTCTGGGGATGTGGGACTTTCAATGCCCAAACCAGGAAACTCTGGGGGATGGCGTGGTCATTCTAGATATGGCCATGGTGGTTCTCACTGTGGACCTTGATCTTGACCTTGCAGTGTGGAAGGTCTGAAAACTACCTGGAGGGCTTTATTCATCATAGCTGGGAAGGGTTCACCTGCCCTGAGACATGGAACTTGGCCCTCACCTGTAGACCCTGGGCAGCCTCACTCATACAATTACCCTTTGCACCACATGTCCATCACCCCTGCAGGGTGTCGAACTCCCTCTCTCTGGGTCCTCCCTGCCATGGCACCTGTGCAGTACCATATTAGGTCATCTTAAGGTCATGTTCTGACAGCTCTTCTGATGGATTTATGACAGCAAGTCCAACTATCAATAAGAAAGAATTCGAGTGCCAGCCAGAGCATGCAGGTGTGTTCTAGCACTGTCTGCCAATATGCCAGCCCAGCCTCATGTGCACATCCACATCTCTGCCTTTATTTGATCTACCTGAGTGTGCTAACCCACCGCTCATGTGCACAGACACACATTCACAGATAGCTGCCCATAAACATACAATGAATTTTAGTCCTGTTTGCAGACCTGTTTGTACACAATGCACGTATCCTTCTATGTGTGAATCCACTCACATATTATCTCCAAATGTACACACACATGCACACCTGCACAGAGAAAGAGTGGGTAAGGTGCTTTCCCAGCTCTGTGTGGTGCTGAGGATGTGGTGAGCAGCAGGTGTCTACTATTCAAGTTCATTTCCTAGTGACCCTGATGAGGAGGGGACCAAGCCAGGCAAACAGTTGTAACAGGTCTCCAGTGCCCTACTTCAGCCCAGTAGCCTGAATGGGGATGGTAAGATCATCTGGCAGACTGACCTCTGCTCTGACATACTAACAGCCTGAGCTGCTCTGTTTAGCTTCTGAGTTCCAGCAAAATGACTGCTCATGATATGAAAGCCTTGGCCCAAGGTAGTTTGGTACTAAGCCTGATGGACCAGGGTCAGGGGTCTGAGTTGCCTGAATGTGTTAACCATGGGCTGGATACACCCTCTCTGATACAATTCTGTCATGTACTGTCTCTCCCACACCAGGTGAGAGCCTGAGGACTGTCCTCTGCAGGTCTGGGTCAAGGTGTATCTATCTAGCTGTAAGTTGGGAGTCGTTCCCCACAGCAATGGGCTCTGGGGTTAGTAGCTCAGCTGTGGGCTCAGTGTACTTGGGGAACCCTGGATACACATCTACTGTGGCATGTGGCCTCCACTGCCCCTTTTATGTCCAGGCCAGGTGTAGAATGGCTACCTCAATTTGTTCCGTCAGAAAGATGGGATCTCTTTCCTGTCTGTGTGAGGTCCTACCTATTCCCTTAACTGAGGGACTTCATGATGCCGCCTACTCCCTGATGCCCATCTAACAGGTTAGTGGCCCCCACTTTGCCCACTGACTATGACTCCTGGGTTGACTTTTGTCAACATAGCGTTCACATGGATGGGCAGAATCTCTAACCCTGACTTTGCATGTGTCCCCCCACAGTAGTCTTCTTTGCTATCTCATTGTGTTGTATAGCTGAACCTGGGTAGAGGAACACATTAAAAAAAAGGCTGCTTCTCTAGGTTCTTTTTCCTGGCATACCTTTGCCTGCAAGCAAAACTGGCCTTTACTTGGAACTTCAGCAGAGCCCTTAAATAATAGTGCTGAATGTCTGCTTGTGCATCTCCCCTGGGGGGCTATGAACCATTCAGGAAAGAGACTGTGTTTCATTCATAGGTTACTTCAGTATCAACACTGGGCCCGGCACATAGTAGATCCTCAGTGGGTAGTTGTTGATTGTCTGAATGAGTGCGGGAATAATTGGATGAATGCAGAGACATTTTCATTCAATTCTTGGTTCCTGGTCAAAGTCTTTGTCATACTCTTTCCCCATCTGTCCATAAACTAATAGAGTGGAGTAGCAAGGAGGCATAAATTAAAATGCCTGCTTGACTCAGGCAGGAAATGGAAATGTGTGAAATGGCTGGATGAAATGTAATAGGGAGTGGTAGAGACTATGGCACATATAATAAGTGTTCACATTCACAGCATGTTCAAACATTGAGCTGAACAGGCAAAATGACCACATTTATTGTAGAAAAGGACTTAGAGGGGACATTTGTAATTTGACACCCCATATTCTTTTGGTTCATACTTTGCAAGTCCTCAGGGGCAGTGCAATTAAAGTGAGGTTAAACAGCAGATGAGTGCCAAAGACCTCTCCCTCTCTCTCTCTCTTTCTCTCTCTCTCTCTCTCTCTCTCTCTCTCTGTGTGTGTGTGTGTGTGTGTGTGTGTGTGTGTGTGAGAGAGAGAGAGAGAGAGAGAGAGAGAGAGAGAGAGAGAGAGACTGAGCCACAACTTTCTGCTAAAAGAAATCTTCCTTGGAGATGGAGCTGATAGTGTGAGTCTGCTAGTTGCTTCTGGAGCTGTGTATACATGTCCCTAGGCTCCTAGTAAATGGGCAAAGTCCAACTACAACTGGGGAGACCAGACCATGGCACTGGAAACACCCATATTCTAGAAGCCTCATGAAGCTTCCAAGGCCAGGAAAGCAGCTGCAGAGTCAGTAAGGTGAGTCCTCATGTGAACATTAACCAGCCAGGGCATGGCCGCTGCAGGGCTCAGGAAAGTGACTTATCCGGGTGATCTACCCAGAGATGAGCTAGGAGGTATGTGGACAACCTTAGCCTCATTTTGCAGGCAGAGAACCTGAAGTTTTGAAAGGTCACCTAACCTCCCAGTGTCACACAATGGGCGCATGACAGAGCCATCATTTGAACCCGTATCTGTTTTCGAAGCTCATGCTCTGTCAATTACACCATCCCTTCCAGGAGGATGGGCCCTTTAATTGACATGGAGTTATTCACTTTCTCTAATGATGCTACTCTAGCCTGCAAATATGTCTAGATTCTTCAGGGAGTCAATTTGGGCAATGTAAGAATTTCAGTTTTATTATTTTAAGGTCAGTTCCAGATATTTAGGTTTTCTTGAATAACCTTATTCACAAGACTTTCTCTGTAGACTCAAACTGTCTTTTGAGAGTGAACTTTTTCCACTGCTGAGAATGTTTAAAAGTGAATGTTGCAGGTTCTGGAGGCAGCCAGTGAGAATAGGAAGGAAGGTTTTTGGTATTTTTTATGGGAAGTAGCACCTACCCCCGAGGGGCCGCGGGCCTCCAACTCTGTGTGGCATCTCTTTGTTTGGAAGAGTCTCAGGCTTTACCTTACTCCACAGAGTGAAGGACAGATGGGATGGGATGAGGCAGGGCAGGTACAGGGTCCTCAGCTCCCTTTCATGTTCTCACCTTTGGCCTGGGCTGTACTGAGGGCCTGGTGTCCTGGAAGCCCCGGGGGTTACTGCCCATGCCACACAAGGCCAGCCTCTTCACTGCACCATTTCACTGCAAGTGTCTCAGGACTGGGGCTCTGCAATCCTGGCCCTCAGGGAAGGTGCCCTCCTTTCCCCAAGGCCCAGACTGTGTCTTCCTTTTGTGTGTCTACATGGAGTATTTAGTCTTTCCCACTGCATCCCTCAAAGAGGCAGAAGCTGCCAGGGCTTGTCCTTTCTTCTCCTTACCGCCATTCCCAGGATGGAGTCAGTTCAGTGATCAGGTATGTGGCCTTTGCGTTGCTTTTCTTGGTTGACTCTCAAGCACATATTTGTTTGTATGTGTTTTCTTTTTCTTTTACCTTTTTTTGAGTTTGGTAGAGAGTATAAGGAGGGGAGAAGGATACAGGAGAGGCCAGCTCTCCCACTGTTAGTAGGTGAGGGTCTGACACAGCACAGGGCTGGTTACTGTGGATGTGTCCTGTAAAGTCCTCCAGTTAACCAGCCTCCAAGACCACGCAACTCTTGTTCAGAGACCCCCTCCTTTGGGCATCCCCTCTGTGCCATAGTTCCAGCTCCTCCTGTCTCCTAATGGCCCTCCTCTGGGCATTCTCTCCTGCTCACACGTATCTCTGGTTCTTCATTATTCTCAAAGTAAATCCCAAGCACATGATGACCTTTTAGGGCCTTCAACCACCCCCAGGCTGAATACTCTGGGTCCCTTTTATCACCAATGATGATGTTGCTTGCTGTCCAGTTGCTGAATTCTTCTCAAGTCTGGCCTCTGCTGCACCCTTCTTTCACCTCAACACACACACACACTAAATACCACACCACCCCCTCACACATACACATACTCACACATCACACACACACACACACCACCCAAACCACACATACTAGACAGACACCACACACCACACATACCATACAAACCACATACACCACACGAGCACATTACACATCATACCGCCTACACACCACACAAACCACATACCATACCCACACCCACCCTCCATACACCTCCCATACTACATACCACACACACATCACACACCCACACCATAAACCACACAAACTATACCTTCACGCTCCATACTCACACCCCCCACACCACACATCACACCTCCATACCCCCTCCACACTCCCCCGCATAACACACACACACACACACCCATCCCTCTTCTAACTGGAACTCTCCTACTCTCCCATCCCTTCTCTAACTGGAACACACACACACACGCACACCCAACCCTTTCTTGAACTGGAACTCAGTTCAAGAATCAGCTCCCTGTCTTTTTATTCCCGCTCTTCCACTCCTGGTTCTCTGTTCTTACCTTGGTGCTCACAGTTTTTGTGAAGCAACAATTACCTCTCAGACATCAAAGACCATATTTGTTCATCTCTGAGCCTCAGAACCCTGCACAGAGCCTCATGACTGGCTGACTGAATAAATGAGTGAATGAGTCTATGAAGGAATCATATCAAAAAGATGAGAAAAGTCTGGCCTATGACAAGATAAAATCTCTGACTTGCCCTGGGTACTACTGTCTCTGGAGCTCTGGACCAGGGATCCTCTACCCATCAGCCCGGTGGGCCTTGGTTTCTCAAATATGGCTGGGAGGGTGCAGGAATGGGGCTTCTCACCTTGTGAGAATTAGATTAGAAGGGAGCTTTATTGAGAGATAAACCGCTTAGACATGGGCCATCTGTCCCTTGGTGTCTCAGCTCTGCAGCTCTGTATTCTCTATGGGCATAAGCACTCCTGCTTAGGGTGAGGCAGGGAAGGCGGGGACTTCCTTGAACCAGGCCACTTGGTGTGCCAGCTTTTTGTGGGCACTTTCCATCTGCCAACTTGTGTTCTGAGTAGGTCCTGTAATCTCCATTTTATAGAAAAAGAAACTAACGTGCCCAGGTCACACAGAAAATCCTGGACAAGGTTGGGCTTTGAGTCCTGGTGTGTTGGACCCAGATGCCTTGCTGCTGTCCCTTCCTCATACAGCTGATTGAGCTGTGATGACGGGTGGTCTGCAGGGAAGGCTTCAAGGACAGGTTTCTTTTAGCAGAAAGTTGTGGCTCAGGCCCTATCACAGTCTTTCTTAAACAAGGATGCTTCCTGCGGTTTGTTTATTTATTTATTACTTGTTTGTTTGGATGTTCTTTCCAGCAGAATGTTCTTTTCATGTTAGGAAGTTAGGAGGAAATTCCTTCAGGGACCACTGGATGCTGGTGATTAAGTGCTAGGAGGTTGAATGGATCTGGGGTGACTGAGACTCTGCAGTCTTTGGTTGGCCACCCTTGGGTGCTTGTTCCCCTGCACCCTAGCAGGTTTGGGCATCTTTAGATTTGTAGCTGCCAGATGTCATGGTTGTATCAAGTATCAGTGTGCAAGGGGCCATGTAGGGTTGGAGGTCATGTAGACTGAGCCTGGCTCATGATAACTAAAGGTTGGTGGCATGATTGGGACCAGGACCTGGAGTTCTGGAACTTTCTCAGGGCTCTTGCTGCCCGAGACAAAGCCCTCCAGCATCACAACTCACTGCTGTGGAAGTTGCTGTGGGCCTTGGGTGCTGGGCATCAGGGTCAGCACGGTGAGAGGCCTTGCCCTGGGAGTGCTATACCTGTGGGAGTGGCCCGGGCACCACCCAAGTTTTGGATGCCAGCTTGAGCTTGCACGGTTTGCAGTACCTCACACGGTGCCCTGGGAGGACAAAAAGGCAGAGAGGTGGGGTGGAGAGAGAGAAGAAAGCACAATTAAAATTCATTTTCAAACACAGAGATTTTTTTAAGAATCAAAGAAAAATTAGATATTATCCTCTTTTCATAGCAAACATGACTAGCTTAGACTCTTTTAGTTTCAACAGGGGGATATCTAATTCAGTAGTAGAAGAGGGAGACAAGGTGGCTTATCCTAAGCAGTTCCCACCTGAGCAGGCTGGAGTCTGCCACATGGATATGCAGGGGGGCCTTTGACCCCTCTGGCTGCCTCCGCACATGGGTAATATGTGTCCCAAAGCTACATTTGCATCTGTCGACAAATCAGTACCATTTATGGGAGGAATAGTCCACAAGAAAGAAAACATTGCATGTATTAAGCTACTCTTCATAGTTTTTTAGGGTTTTTTTTGGAATAGGAGTCTCACTCTGACACCCAGGCTAGAGTATAGTGGCATGCTCATGGCCACTGCAGCCTCGGCCCACTGGGCTCAGGTGATTCTTCTGCTCCAGCCTCTCAAGTAGCTGGAACTACAGGCATGTACCTCCACACCCAGATACTTTTTGTTTTTTAATTTTTTTTTTTTGATTTATTGTAGAGATGTCTCGCCAAGTTGCTCAGACTGGTCTCGCACCCCTGGACTCAGGCAATCCTCTTTCTTCTGCCTCTCAAAATGCTAGGATTACAGGCATGAGTCATCAGCTTTGTTTTTAAGAGCAAAGAAAAAAAGAAAAAAATCCTGAAAATAATCCGAATATCCTATGATAGATAAATGGTTAATCAGTAATGATATTTCATAATGATGGAAAAATTTCATGAGGACAAAACCCTGTGGTTATTAAGACTGTGGCAACATGAGGAATAATGCTTATAACCTAATGTTAATTTTAAAATTAGAAAATGAGGTGCAATAAAAATAAAACCAAGGAAACACGTCTGTATGAAAAAAAGGTGACATAAATTAATGAGAAGGGTTATTAAACTATGGTAATGAGACTATTCTCATTTCTCCTCCTGCTTCCAGATCATTACTATATGCAATACGGTGTGATGGTTAGGATCATAGAACCTGGAACCAGATTATTTGGATTCAAAGCCCAGCTCTACATTTACTAGCTGTGTGACCCTTAACAAGTTACTTAGCTGCTCTGCGCTTTTGATCCCTTATTTGTAAAAATGGGAATAGTGATAGCATTTAACTTCTGGGATTATTGTGAGACTTAAATAAAGTAGCAGATGTCAGTGCTATACCTAGTAATTGTTGTACAAGCACTAGCTATGCAAAAAGTAAATTTAATTATAATTCACCCATAGATTCATGTCTTAATCATAAATAAGTGCTAATATTGGGGTGATTTTTAAAATATTTTTTCTTCCTACTTGAAAGTGCTTTTATCTTTCCATAGTGATTATCATAGTAATATACAGTGTAACCTACTCTTTGCCATTAATACCACGTTGCAATAATTTTCCACCAGCATTTCTGATAGAGACCCATGATTTCCTGACCACTGCTCCTCCACCACTCCCATCCCTACCCTCAGATTCCAAGACTCTCCTCTCTGGTTCCTACAATAAATATCATGGTTGACATTGCAAATATGGTCACAACTTGTACCCCTCCTTTGCAGTTTCTCTTGTTAACCTATGGGGTCTGTTTCTCGGCTTCTAGAATCTGGACTGGGCTTGTGACTTGCCTTGGCCAGTAGAATGTGGTGGAGACGAAAGTGGGCAGTTCTGAGCCTGCTTCTCAAGAGGCCCTATGTGGCTCCATTCATCTAAGTGGAACCCTGCAGCCCCCATGTGAACAAGTGTGGGTCAGCCTGCTGGGAGATGAAAGGCCATGTGGAGGGGAGTTCAGCTGTTCCAGTTAAGGCCATCCCAGACTCACAGACCACCAACTCCCAAACATGTGAGAAAGCCCAACCAAGGTCAGCAGAGCTGCCCACCAAACCTTAGAAGAATGGAAGAGCCCAGTCAAGGCGAGAAGAAATACCCAGCTGACCTGTAGACTCATGAACAACTATAAATACTTACTGCTTTGGGTCACCAAAGTTGGGGGTAGGTTGTTATGTAGTGGCTAATGGATATAATTACAAAGAGCAAGACCATGGATCTGAGGCCTTTCTGATTGGGCCACTGGGCAGAACAGGCTGCTAGCCTTCTCTACTGCCTTTTTAGGTCTATTGTTCCAGGCCCTCATGTCTACCCTGGTACCATTGTTGCTGAAACCCTCAAGTCATCAATGGGTGACCTTTGCCCCTGCTGTTTGAGTCCCTTCCTGAAGGCAGAGGCAACTCTATGGCAGGGGAGGAATTGCTTGGTGCTCCTGAATCTTCCATCATGAGTTAAGTCATTTTGCTGGGCTTCAAAGCAGGGAGAGTGGCATGGCTTTCAGGACCCAGTCAGTCTCTCCGGCTCCAGGGGCCTTCTCACATGAACTCTCCAGTCTTCCCAGGGGGTTCCATGCTGGCAGCTCAAGACACGTAGAAGGAAGACGCCCTGACAGAGGCTTTGAGGTCAGGGACCCTCCTGGTTGGTGGGGACTATGTAGCCATCATTTGACCTCAGCTTGAGCCTGAGCAGTCCCAGGGCTGGGGGCTGGTGCCTGATGCCTCTCAAGAGCCAACAGTGTCAGCAGACTGAGCATTCCTTAAGAAAAATTGCTGTTATGACAATGCTGCTATACAGATTGCTATTAGCTTTCTAAATAATTTAGAGACTGCCTTTATAAAGTAAATTGTTTAATGTAATACATTCAGCTAAACAGCTTGTTAGCATATTAATTTTTAAAGGTGGCTTTGTCACATTTGCCCAGAGTCTTGCATCTTTTACATCTTGTCCTCATGGGCCTAACACAGTGCTGAGATATAAAGCAGTGCTCAAGAAAGACCCTTTGGAATGAGGAGAGCCACTATTTGGCATGCGTTTGCCAGCAGCTGGTGTTGTCGGCTCAGGGGCATCCTCAAGACTGCCTGGGTTAATTTCCCTTTCTATAGACAGATGCATGGCACTCTTTATGACAATGAACTGGAGTACATGAGGCTGGCAATCTTGCTCTTGCTTACACAACACCCTGGGAACACAGATTTGTCTTATCCCTCCTTCTCTCTGAATCCCAGCGTCAGCCCCAGAAGACGCCAGGTGAAACCATAAAACCTGGGCAAGAATGCATAGACTTTGGTTTTCAGTGCTGGCATTGCTGGTCTCCTGTGCCAGTGACCCCGGCAGGGCTCAGTCTCCCTCCAGGCAACATCAGGGCATGTTTATGAGGTACTTTGGGGCAGGCTTGGTGCCAAGTGATGTATACACATGGCCTTATTGATGTCTCACCATAGCCTGGTGAGGTAGATTCTGTTATACCCTTTTCACAGAGGGTGAGACTGAGGTTTAGTAAGCCTGGGTGACCTGCTTAAGGGCACATAGACAGCAGATGGTAGAGCTGAGATCGCAACCCAGATGGTGCTTTCCTAATGCACTTGCTCGGACATGCACATGTCTTCACACACTGCTGTAGGAAACTTTCTCTCTCCAGAGTAGGAGGAGGATTGTTGTAGTGAAGAGGTAGACAGATCCCAGTTTTTGGGTCTGCCTCAGTTTCTTTCTGAGCCTCCGTTTCCAACTATGCAACACTGACAAGTCCTCCCTAGGGTAGTTCCAAGGATTTAAATGAGATCACATAGTAAGGACGCAATAAATATGTTTGTTTCCTCTTCATGTTCTAAGTTGTGTATAAATTTCTGCCATGGCATTTAAAAAATATACATGCAAAAAGAAACCAAATCTTAACACAGGAGCCAAGACTTAGGTTATTGCGTGACTAACAAAATGACTACCCTTTGTTAGCACAAGGAGTTAACCTGGCCACATTTCCTACGAACTGTGTGTGCTTGAATGAATGTGTGTGTCTGTTGTGTAGCATGTGGTATGTGTGTTGTGTGTATGTGTCTGTGTCTCTGTGTGCTTAATGTGTATATATGTGTCTACATGTGTGTGACTATGTGTGTAGGTACTTGTATGTCTGTGTGTATAGTGTGTGGTGTGTGTGTCTCTGTGTGTATTTGTGTATGTGTGTTGTGTGTGGTATGTGTATCTATCTGTGTTATATATTTATGTATATGTCTGTGTGTTTGTATGTGTTGTTGTATGGTGTGTTTGTATTTGTGTATGTGTTTGTGTATATCTATGGGTCTGTGTCTAGCATGGTGCATGTGTCTATATGCATTTGTGTATGTGTCTGTGTGTGTCTATTGGTCTGTGTCTAGTGTGGTATATGTGTCTATATGTATTTGTGTATGTGTCTGTGTGTGTCTATGGGTCTGTGTCTAGTGTGGTGTATGTATTTGTGTTATGTGTCTGTGTGTGTGTAGTTGTGTGGTGTCTGTGTGTCTGTGTTCAGTGTGTGGCATGTGTATAATGGAGGGTACACACATACACACTCCCTCAATTTCTTTTTGCCACATCTGAGTATCTGTGCTGGAGAGGAGAAGAAGAGAGGGGTGAGTATAAGCCCACTGTCCTCCCTAGGGTGGACCTCCAGCTCTCTCTTCTGAAGATTTTCACCTTCTTCACAGAACTGCCTTCCTCCTCCAGGCTTGAGGGAGCAGCGACAGGCAGCCAGCCAGTGCTCACCTTGCACCCTGCCTGGGTGGGTGCCTCACACTCTGTTTCAGCGAGGAGTGGGTGTGATAGCTGGTTATTTTTACCCAGCTGGGCTGGGTGTGATGCCAGTTTGGAAGGAGGGGTTGTCAGCTTCTCCAGAGAAATGATCTGCGGCTAGAACTATTCTGTCTCTGTCCCTCCCCAGCATTCACAGCTGAGCATCCCTTTGGATGCACAGGACATTTGATAGCTAGGAAGGGCATAGAGCCCTGGTGCTGGACATGGGCTCCCTGGGTCACAGCCCTAGAGGAGCGAGCAAGGCTGGGGCTTTCTCAGACTCCCAAGAGATGACACTGGGGCAGTGAAGTGGTGAGGCAGAAACTCTAGGTTGGTGTCAGGCTCCTGTTCAGCAGCCTCTGGCAGGGCTCTGCCTATTCTACCCCCCAGGATCCTCTTACCAAAGAGAAGAAGTCCAGAGCCCTAACCTCCCACCTGGCCAGGTGACACCAGTGTGTCAGTCTGCCCTTGGCCTGGAGCCCCAGCACTGGGAGCTGGGTGCTTTCAGCCCTCCTGTGTCTGGGCCTGCCCCTACTCTGCCTGGTGCCCTCAGGTGTTGAGGAAAGAGCAGCCTTGATCTTCCTGGCCTTCCCCAGGTATGCAACCTGGATGCTGCCTGCCTGCATCTCTGGGGGCTGCCTGACGCTCCTGCCAAGCTGTGGTCTCTGGACCCTTGTGCCCTATCCAACTGCTGGTAGCTGCACTGCTGGCCTGTTCCCCTGGTCCACAGGGCTCATAGGCAGCTTTGGTTCATAGCTTCTGGGAGCAACTTCTGACCTCTGCTGCTTTCTGTCTTCTGTGCTTACTTCTTGCCCACTGTAGACCTTTAACCCTGCTGCCTCCTCTGCTCACATCCTCTACTTCCATGTTCCTCAGCTGGGCTCCTGGCCTTTCTTTGGGTCTCATAAGTGTCACCTCCTTTAACACCTCCCACCCAAGGTAGGGGACGTTCCCCTATAGTAATTTCTAATTGCATTTGATCTTCCCCTTGACAGAATGTATTCAGTTCAATATGATTAATTTGTGGCCTCTTTTTAGGGATTTAGTTTCCCCCACGGAACTCTAAACTCCACCTGCTTGTGGCCTCCAGGCTGGGGCTGATCAGCATGTATGACCTGTCCCATTCCAGTGCAGATCCTCACCTCCAACACATTCTGGGCTGGGTGGGGTTGCTTACCTTTCAGGGCTGTCGTGTTGGGGCTGGAAACTCCATGGCAGCAGGGCCTGACTCTCCAGGACTTGGCAGGATGTCTTCTCCCTGAAGTTGGACACAAAGGAGCAGAGACCCTCCCTTAGTGGGCTTGTCTGTGCAGGAATGACTTAAGCGATCTTCCACTCCCAAGGCCCAGGGTTCAGGAATATTTATTCAAGGAAACCCAAGATGAACCAAGCTAAAGGGAGGCCCAGAGAAAGGGTGGCCTTGCTATGGTTTACTTTTCAGAAATAACAATGTTGGGAGATACTGTGTCCCCTAGAACATACCTCTTCGTGTTCCTCTCTGAGATATAGTTCCTTTGACACAATAATTCTCCCTTTGGCAATCTCTTCTAAGAAAATAACTCTGAATTTAGGAAATATTGGTAAGCATATGCCTTTTACCACATACTTAAAATAGTTCAAAGTTGTGAAACTAAAATGTCTAAGCACGTAAATTCATGATAGCACATTTACTTGGTGGCAAGTTATAATAATGCCACTTCAAGAATCTGCCAGAGATAGTTCCAAATGTATAGGAAACTTTACGGGAAAAGATATCCATTCTCATGGAATTGTCATTAGGGTACCATTGGCCACCTCAAACATGTACAAAAACAGAGGTCTGATAAACTGCTTGTGGTGGACTATGTTTACGAGAAATTCTAATCACTGTTTTCCTTATTATATATGTGCCACATTTTCATGGCAGAAACTTTATAAAACATATACTTATATGAGCTATAATCCTACTGCTCAGAGATGGCTGGTGCTGACATTCTGGTTTAAATGCTTCCAGAATAATTTCAGTCATAAGTATCTTGTGTGAGTACAATAATATAGTGATAATTAAAAAAGATACATCATCGAACATATAGAGATATGTCAATTAAATTTTTTAAATGCAGCCGGGCTCAGTGGCTCAGCCTGTAATCCCATGCCTTTGGGAGGCTGAGGTGAGTGGATTGCCTGAGCCCGCGGGTTTGAGACCCGCCTGGGCAGCAAGACCTCATCTCTACAATAAATAAAAAAATCAGCGGGGTGTGGTAGTGCATGCCTGTAATTCCGGCTACTTGGAAGGCTGAGGTGGAAGAATCGCTGGAGCCCAGCAGGTCGAGGCTGCGGTGGCCGGGAGCAGCCACTGCACTCCAGTCTGGGCGACATTGAAAACTCCAACTCAAAAAAAAAAAAAAAAAATTTTTTTTTAAATGTTACGTGCAACACTGAAAGGAAATAAACAAAATGTTGAACATGGCTATTCTTGAATCATGAAACTATGACTTTTTCCCTCCTCTTTATATATTTCTCTATCCCTAGCTCCAAAAAGTGTTTAAATAACCATAGCCGCTAAAACAAAAAATAAAAGTAGGCGGTTTCTAGAGGATTAGGCAAGAGAAAAAGCTCAAAATACTCAGCAATCTGAATCAAGAAAGACAGGAGAGCTAAACTTCCATATCCATAAAGATTTTCAGATCATGTCTCCCACTTCTAAAGACACATAACCATACCCCACATCCCCCCATCCCATCTGCCCATGGGCATTTGCCATGCATGAAGTTTTGGGAGGTTCAGGCTCAGATGGTCCATTAATTAATGTATTTATTCATCCAGCATTAAGTTAGTCTATCACTAACACTTAGTCTAGCACTAAGCACTAAGTTGTATCATTCCAAGTATGATACACAAGTACAATACAGTGGCTCTAGAATTTCCGGACAGGAAGGGTTTAGGTGCAACAAGTTAGCTGAGAGGTTGTACGTATGTGGTAAGCAAACTGTTTTACTTAGCCTGTGTGGGTATATGTGTGTGTGTGTTTGTGTGTGTGTGTGTGCGTGTGTGTGTGTGTGTTTAGAGGAACAGGGGCTGTGGGTGGAGTCCCCCAGGTCATCTGTTGGGGTTGCCGCTGTAGATAGAGGTGCTACATAGGTATAGGTTCAGAAGCTAGAGACTGTCTTTCCAGGGCTCAGAATTGCCTGCCAGGGCCTGTCATCCACAGGTCCTGATTGGATGTTTCCCAGATGCTGGAATCCCTGCTCAGGGACCGGCACCCTAGAGGCAGTCCTACCTTCCGCTGAGAAGACTGAGAAGCAGAAAAGCAGGATGCAGAGCAGGCTGGAAATGATTAGAAGCCTCATGGTGAGATGGTGGATTCTCATGTCCTGGGGAGGGAGCTGAGCCTTAGAAGTCCACCCTTGGGGCCACCTCAGACATTTATAGAGTGACTTAGGGGCGTTTCCCAATGGGCAGGGCCCTAGCAGCCTTGGAATTCTCCTAAAGGGTAGAATCAGCCCCTCCCCAAAGGAAAACCAGCTTCTCAAGAAGCATTTAGTGACCTGTAACACAGAGAGATGTACATGCTCAGCCAGAGAGTTCCCAGCACTGGCCTCAGTAGTCAGAGCAGGAAACTCCTGTCAGGGAAGAGCTACTGCCCTGGGTTGAACATTAACTTTTAGTGTCAGTAATAATTCCACCAAATGCAGATCTGCTCATTCTTTAGATGTGACTGGGAGAAGGACTATAAAACCCTTTAAAAACCCTCAGAGGAGGAGTCTCAAGTAACTGATGAAATGTTGGAAGCACTGGCCCTTGAGTCAGATGACCTGGGTTTGAGTCCTTGCTCTGCCACTTATTAGCGGTGTGACCTTGAACTTGTCCTTGTTGGTCTCTGATTCTGCTTCCCACCTGTGAAATGGGCACAGGGCTCTCACAAGGTTGCATGAGGATGTGTATGAAAAGTCATCTGCGCTGGGCTCGATGGCTCAGCCTGTAATTCCGCGTCTTTGGGAGGCAGAGGTGAGTGGATTGCTTGAACCCGCGGGTTCGAGACCCGCCTGGGCAACTTGGCGAGACCTCATCTCTACAATAAATCAAAAAATCAGCCGGGCGTGGTAGCGCATGCCTGTAATTCCGGCTACTTGGAAGGCTGAGGCGGAAGGATCAGCAGGTCGAGGCTGTGGTGGTCGGGAGCGGCCACTGCACTCCAGTCTGGGCGACAGAGTGAGACTCCAACTCAAAAAAAAAAAAAAAAGAAAAGAAAAGTCATCTGCACTGAGGTGGACACTCACACAACTGTTAGAGGAGGTGGGGCCACAGCTGGACCTTGATGTTTAAGATAGTGATGAGATGAAAGGGCATTTCAGGTACTGTCAGCCTGAGCAAAGGCCTAGAGGAGAAGAACCTCTGACTGGGACAGGCATGGAGAAAGTCTGACACAGTTACAGGAGGCCTAGTGGTTACTCATTCATTGGACACATGCCCTGGGCTGGACCATGCACTTGGCACCATGGACATCGAAGAGGCTGTGCCTGACCTCAGGGAGCTCCTGTTGGTGAAGGCAGCTGTGCAGACAGCTGCCTGACTCACAGCATCACAAGTGCTGTCTACGCCAAAGGCCTGGGAGGTAGGTTGCTCAGTAGGAGGATGGGGAGGGAGAGGATGCTTTACAGAGATGGGCTGAGACTGGATGGGGTGAGGGGAAGTGGGTTGGCATGGTAGGCCAGGTTGTAGTGGTTTATCGGACCAGCAGAGAAGTCAGACAGGCTAAGGTATGAAAAAGGTCCTTCAGCCAGGTAGAGACTGATGACATGAGTGCTTTGGGCACCTTTTCCAACACGGAGGATCTGAGTGTCCCTTTTACTAATGGTATGTGGGGGCCTGAGCATCTGCCAGCCCTGGCCTCAGGTGGTGTCAGGGGATCCAGTGTCCTGGGCCTATAAGAGATGATGGGTTGGTGGGAGAAACATATTTCAGGAGAGACTAGGGTGTTTCCCCATGCACCTTGCTGAGACCCTCCTTGAACTGCTTTCAAACCTCCACTTCCAAACCAGTTCCTGCTCATCCTTCCAGCCCCAGATCAAGAATCTCTTTCATAGGCCAGGCTCGGTGGCTCAGCCTATAATTCCAGCACTTTGGGAGGCCAAGGCGAGTGAATTGCCTGGGCCCGCAGGTTCGAGACCAGCCCGGGCAACTTGGCGAGACCTCTCTATAATAAGTCAAAAAATTAGTTGGGCATGGTAGTACATGCCTGTAGTTCCAGCTACTGAGGCAGAAGGATCACTGGAGTCCAGCAGGTTGATGATGGGGTGGCCGTGAGTGTGCCGTTGCACTCCAGCCTGGGTGATGGAGTGAGACTCCAACACACACACACACACACACACACACACACACACACACAAAAGAATATCCCTCACTTGAATTGTTCCCTGACCCCTGGCAGCATTGATGCATGTTGTGACTGTTGCCTCTCAGCATGCTGTTTCCCACTGGATGTCAAGCTCTTGGTGACACAGGGCCTGAGCCCAGGGGCAAATGATAGGCAGGACTCCTGAAGGTTGGAATAGACCATGTGGGCCCATTGTACCTTTATGCTGGGCAGGGCCTCTCTGGTTCACTGTGAGCAGTGCAGGGCTCTGCAATAAATGCCTTGGATATGTTGAAAGTCCACCATGGCATGCATCTGTCTACCTGGCCCCGGGAAACTGTCATCTGGGAGACTTTGGGAGATCGGACTTGGTCAAGAGAAGGCAATCCAGTCTGATGCTCAGAGGTTGAAAGGATTGAGGAGCATGCAAACACCCTACCAGCAATGAGAGTGAACAGAAGACGTATAAGTGGTGGTTTCCATGTTGTTGAGCACAGGATGGGAATTGTCTCTTGCTGAAGAACTGTGAATTTTGTGTAGATAGAGACAGGAAGTTGGGCCAGCCTGCAGGAGCTCCCTTATAAAAACCAGTAAGTGAAGACACACACGTATCATGCGCATGTGCCCATGCACAGAATCGCGTGTGTTCTTGTGATGTGGTGCCCATCTGTCTTTTGGCTTAATAAGTATGCCCTTCTAACCAAGGAATTGACACTTGTTTCCAGCATCAGAGGGCACATGAGAAGATGCCATGATCTGGTTCAACTTTCCAAAATCTCCCTGGTCCCTGGCAATCTATTCAGACATAGCCTGCTGCTAGGACTGGCCCACGGTGCACTTCACTGTCCTCTTCTTTTGCTGCAGAGATGCAATTTAGACCACAAGCTCAGACAGCTCAATGGGCAAATCAATGGCCAGAGGACATTTTGACAGTCAATCTACATGCTTTCCTACATTTGCAAAAACTTTAAAAGGAAATCAGGCAGGGGCTGCTAGGCTTAAGGACTAAATGTCAAGTGACGTCAGTCATCTGCTAACCCAAACCTGATTTCCTTTTCAAGCTGTGCTCTGAGTCTTGATGGCTGTGCCGAGTGGGCAGCTGCTATGGCAGAGAGTGTGGGCAGGAAGACCCTGGGAGTCTACCAGGGACAACTCCAGAGCTGAAGCCTAGCTGCCAGTGTAGGAAGGAGGGCGAGGAAGAGAGGGGCCTCCCCAGGAGGTGGCCCTTGCTAGCTGACATACCGCTCTTACTTAGATTGCATGCTACAGGTCAAGAATCTCAGCAAGGCTTCCTAAACGTACTTTCTAACATTCTATTTACATTTCTCTGGGGTCATTTGGGAGTGGCACCATTGAACTCTCTGGGCAGCAGCACACCTTTGGCTCTCACTTACCTGTGACCTGTTGTAATGGTTATCTTTTGCACTGGAATGGTTCCTTGTTGCTTTTGACAAACCGTCATCAGCAGGGCGAAGAGCTATGTAGCTGGCAGAGGGGGCAGGGACGAGGCCAACTCTTTTTTTTTTTTTTGAGTCTGAGTCTCACTCTGTCACCCAGGCTGGAGTGCGGTGACACAATCATAGCTACCGCAGCCTCAACCTACTGGGCTCAGGTCATTCTTCCACCTCAGCTTTACAAGCAGCCAGAGCTACAGGCACTCACCAACATGACTGGCTATATTTTTGATTCATTGTAGAGATGGAGTCTTGCCAAGTTGCCCAGGCTGATCTCGAATCCTTGGGCTCAGGCTGTCCTCTAGCCTCAGCTCCCCAAAGTGCTAGGATTACAGGTGTAAGCAATCATGCCTGGCTAAGGCCGACTCTTAAAGCAGAACTCTAATGCTTAGCAGTGGTGCAGAATTAGGAACAGACTCTCAGGTTAGTGAAGAGAGATTCATCTGGATTCACTGACCAACTAAACCAGGCTTTGGTGATTTCCCCAAGATCCCTCAGTCAGAGTCAGAAATAGACTTGAATTTCTCAACATAACCGTTTTCTCATTACAGAACAGAGCCATAAGGGCAGTATGCCATGAAGGGCAGGAAGAATTGGCCATCTCGGGGGCTCTGTTCCTTTCCCACACACACATAATTCACAGATTTGTGGGTTTTCCTGGGACCACATATTTCTAGGGAAGAATAGATTCAGATGTTAGAATTCACCTGTTTTTAAAATGCTTACAAAAATTACTGAAGCAATCTATGCCTGTGTTAATGTAAATAACACAGGGTAAAACGTGTAAGTTCCACACTCAACCCCACTCCCCAGGGGCAATCGCTGTTCACAGATTTTCACCTGCTTCTAACATTTCAAAGACTGCTGTCACCTTCTTACTTTAAAAAAAGGAAGAAACTCCTCTGGCTCTTTAGAATATTCAAAATCTCATGTTGAGCTGATAAAGGTGAAAATGAGAAGCAATTTTAATAGGAACACCTGTTAGTTTTGAGAATACAGTTTTGGTACAAAAAAATATATTCCAAGTTGAGGCTTTGAATGATTTCCAAAGATGATTTTGAAAACTTGGCAACCTTCCTGAGTAAAAGGTCTTCAGAGACACACCTAACACACTGGGGAATTTACAAGGAAGTATCATTTTTCAAGCCAAATTTGCCATTTCTAAGACAATTAGGAAAACGCCCAGAGCATCCCCACCCTTTACGGGCAGAGCACTTATGATCTGAGTCCCACCCTTTGCTCCTAGCCACCATGTTCTTCTTCTTCTTTTTTTTTTTTGGAGTTGGAGTCTCACTCTGTCACCCAGACTGGAGTGCAGTGGCTGCTCCCAGCCACCGCAGTCTCGACCTGCTGGGCTCCGGCGATCCTTCTGCCTCAGCCTTCCGAGTAGCCGGAATTACAGGCACGTGCTACCCACGACCGGCTAATTTTTTGATTTACTGTAGAGATGAGGTCTCGCTGCCCAGGCAGGTCTCGAACTCGTGGGCTCAGGCAATCCACTCACCTCATCCTCCCAAAGGCGCGGGATTACAGGCTGAGC